TAAAAATTAATTTGAAACATAACCCCAACATATATTAGTTTTCTGATACCACCATCACTGCTTGCGCCATTAATGAGGCTGGTGATATTAAGAATCTCATCACTGCTTGTTGGTTGTATGGTCGTATTAAGAAAACTCATCACTGCTTGCACCATTAATGAAGCTGGTTTAACTTTTTTTTTTTTTTAAAAAAAAAAAAAAATTATTATACCAACATAAGAATCAAGAGACAGGCGAAACAATCTTGATTTAATCCAGGATCAATTTTTTAGTTGTGTAGACATCTCAGAGCATTATCAACAAAGGTACCCACATCTCTTTCGCTGCCATTATATATATATATACACACTAGATAGAACTACATGTGATGCACATGATTGAACTTAGCAATATTTTAAGATAGTAAAATAGCTTAGATGATATGTAAAAATAATTTGAAAATTAAATAGAGAAATAAGATCTAAAATGAAATTAAAGTAACTTGTAGATAAAAGTGTTAAATTAATTTGGTTTATGTATTTATAAATTTAGAGCAAAATAAATTCAAAACTTTAAGCTATCATTCATCATCCAAATAACTATTTGACTATTAATCTTAATGATAAATAAGACTTTTCATCATCTTTAAAGTCTCTTCATCTAAAACCTTATGCAAACTCCAATATTCTTGTGGTATTTATAGCCAAATAATTAAAGAATATAATTTTATTTTGCAAAGCAATGAAAAAGACTATTGAATCAATTGTACAAGAGATTTATTATATTAAATCATATGATGTATTAGAATATAACAGTACGTTTATAAATACTACATATAACACATTACATTTTTTTATAAATGATTTAAAAACATGCAATAAAAATTAAATAATTATATGTGCTTGTCTTATATCGAATTTTTATTTATTTATTTGTTATGTATGACTGAATAGAATATAATATACATGATAACATATTATATAGAGACCTTAAAGTTGTTCACACATAATTATTATGATATAGAGTAAGTATTATGATATATTCATAAATAAATCTATAATTATGAACAGTCTAATTTTTCTACAAGTGCTTGTTGTTAAAAGTGTGTCTCCGTAAACGTTTCTAAATTCAGAAAAGGATTATAACACTTGCCTATTTCACTCTGTATAACACTTAAAAGTATGTCTCTCTAATTTCTAAGTTCAGAAAACTGTATTCACTCTCACCTTCATGACACTTTCATTTTTATCCAATAAATTCTTCCAACACTCTAAATAAATTGAAATTCATACTTTTCATATGAATAGATTTCAATACATGAAATTAATACATACCAGAAATTCAGAGATAACTAAAATTCATCAGGAGATATTTATTTATAAATGAAATTTATAACTTTCAACCATCATTTGGTTTCTTTAAAAGATGTTTAATAAAATAAATTTCAGTAAAATTGAATAACTTTATATATAAGAATGTTATGAGCTTTTTATTCCAATACGGTTGAATAAACACAACTTCTAATTTTTTATTTAGATATATATTTATTAATTTATTATTTAATATTAATAATTTATTATTTAAAGAGATTGACTTTTAGTCAAGGATTGTAAAGCTTTTCTACTTACGAAAGAATTTAGAAAATAACTTTTACACTGCTTGATGCACGATAGAATTTTAAATTTAATCAATCACGTTTTTTCTTAACGCTAAAGAAAAAGAGTGAAAAAGAAAAAGATTTCACAATTAAGAAGAGTTTTAGTTTATGATACTTTTCTAAAAAAAAATTGTGACTTTCAATAATATAAATGACTAAAGAAGTGAAATTAACGTGAGTTTTTATTTGAAGAACAGGATATATTAAGATGAAATAATTTTTTTTCAATTGAAGATCATAGCCATGCTTTTTTACATACATATATGTATATATATTTCTGATGATATATATACATACATATATGTAAATGTAATACGCATATCACAGATAAAGTATATATTAAACTGGTTGAACTAAATGTCGTTTTATTCTAAATGTAACTCTAGAGAATTTCTTAATTTCTTATTATTTTTTTTTAATTTTTAATTTTTTTTTTACATTGCAATTTCTCAATACTTCCAAAAATCTTAATGAAACAAACTTCCAAATATAAACAAAATATATAACGGAATCTTAAAAAATTAAATAGGAAAGGAACACAAAATTAGACAGAAAAGCAACAAAGAACAGTAAACACGTTATATACGCAGAGAATGGGAATTTTTTCATATTTAAACATGATCAGGATGTAGTAAGACCAAAACACTTAGTTATAGCATTTTATAAATAGTACAAATAAAGTATTATAAAATAATAATAGTCCAATAAAATATCAATAAAAACATATTAAAGTAATAGAGAGTAAAAAACTTCTGGCCTGTTGGAGAGTTGAAAGGTTTCAAGATTGTCACGTTCACAAAAGATCATTTACCAAGTCTTCCACTATCATTTAAAATGTATATAAATATTATAAATCAAATACAATTTTATAGAGTATAAAAATCAAAATTGAATGCACGTTAACATATAAAATATAAGGTTAATTTCACTCACACCCTCTTAGGTTTGGCCAAATATCACTCTCAAACAACTTTTCTATTTTTCTGTTAAAACATCGTTAAAAATATGAAAAAAGACAACTTTGCCCCTAATTTTTTAATCTTATTTATTCCAAAATATCAAGCTACTTAAATGACCATTATACCCCCCATATAATATATATAACAATCACGTATATATATGTGTGTGTGTGTAACAATCGCATAAAAGACGGCGGCCGAGACATCCGGTTAGGCACCGAGACGATGACGGCGAATGGAGATCGGTTGGGCACTGTAGCGATAGCCGAACCAGAGAATGCGAGAGGGTCGCCAAACGATGGTGGTTTGGGGGGAAGGAAGATGCCGAACCAGAGGTTATTGCGCCGTCGATTGTGGGTCGCAGGTACAGGGGCGGTGGGCCAGCAGGGGCCTGGCCCCCCCCCCCCCCCCCCCAAAAAAAAAAATTTATTAGTATATACAATAATAATAATAATAATAATAATAATAATAATAATAATAATAATAATAATAATAAAATTTAGTATACTGGCCCCCCAACATTAGGGCACCCATCAATTTGCCCTCTTTTTTTAGTTGAGAAGAGCGAGAGCTGCCAGAGCTAGTCTAGAGAGATTGAGAGAAGTTGGAGAAAAAATAGATGGAGAGGAAAGAGAAGGCCAGGCGACCGCCGACCACTGAAGCTGCTCAATCTGCGCAAAGATCTCGAAGGATCGAGGCTGCCGAAGGCCCGAAGCTCAACCCCCAGCTCCACCCCTGCTCAAGGTTTCACCTATCTTTTGCCCTCTTTTTAAAATTGTTTTTTGTAATGTTTGGTGCTCACTGCTAATGTTCTTGATCAGTTCATAACTTCACATAATCTGATAATCACAATTATCACATGGTCTGATGGTCCACATAGAACAAAAGATATAGTAAAATGGAATCCAACCAAACTAGTGAACTATATGGCCTTTTAGTTGTATTTTTTATTTTTTTAACTTTAATTTTGGCAGAAGAAAATTTTACTTGTATAAAGACTACATTTTCCCCCCTTCCTTCACTTTGCCTTTGGCTTTTATTCCTTAGAAATGCCCATCTTACTGCATCAAAATCCAGAAACTTTCTCATTGGGGGGGGGGGGGGGGGGGAACCTAACTTCTTTAAAATCTTCTTTTTAAAGGGATAAGAAATTTCCTAAGCTACTATAATTCTTTCACCGTATAAAATTTTGATTATTTATGCCATCATAGAGTCACCACCATTACTTTGAAATACTCTAATTTTTATATTTTACAAAGTTAAAACGAAGAAAAGAATTCGATGCCGTTTTCACAATATTTTACAATAAAAGTATGTTAACAAATTATTTTATAAAATGTTTGAAGATGTCAGTGGAATCATTAGTTTAGGAGTTATTTGTTTTTAGCTGTTCTTAAATATCATTTCATAACTTTTTAGAAAGAAAATTTTAAGAATTGGAGGAATACTTGGAACATATTCTATTTTCCACTCTTCTATCAAGGAAGTTATGCCCATGTGCCAATTGACCTGGTGGTTCAGAACTATTAGACTCATCTTATTATAATTATTTTTACTCAATTATGCTTATTAGGAAATTAGGATTGATGGTTTAAATTACAATGTAAAATCCTAGGTATTAAAAATTTATACTTGAATTATCCTCTTTAGGTACAATGTTATACGATGGTGAAGCCAAAAAGAACTATTGACGCTTCTTTTTTTTTTAAAAAAATGATGTGCCTTTCGAGGCTTCCGCCTCTAATGTTGATGTTTCGGTTCATGATAACCAGCATCCTCCAAAATCTCTAAGAGTTGAACATACAAAAGTTGATCCTACCTTTTTAGAATGTGATCCAGGATTACGTCGTCAAATATGGGATTATCCTGTTGACAAACGTGATGAAGTTCGACGAGCTTATATCAAAGCGAAGCCATACCAAATTGTGTTTTCAGTATATCCGCTTTCTGGATCGGAAAAGCATCGTCGTCGATTTCAATCATCTTGGTTTAAATTATTTCCTACCTGGTTGGAGTATTCTCCTTCAAAGGATGCTGCATATTGCTTACCGTGCTTTTTTTTTGGAGCGAAACCAACGGGGCGTCCCGGAACCAATGCATTTACTAGTGAAGGATTTCGAAGTTGGAAGAAAGTTAATGTTGGCAATAGGTGTTCTTTTTTAAATCATGTGGGAGGAAATCCATGTTCTGCTCATAGCATTGCTGAGAGAGCATGTAAGGACTTAATGAATCAACCTTGTCATATTGATACAATGATGGTTAGACAAACTTCCGAACAAGTTTCAAATAATTGATTGAGATTGAAGGTCACAATTGATGTGGTCCGATGGCTTACTTATCAAGCTTGTGCTTTTAGAGGGCATGATGAATCCCTTTAATCAAGTAATCGAGGCAATTTCATTGAAATGGTAAAGGCTTTTGCGTCATATAATGATGATGTTGCAAGAATTGTTCTTGAAAATGCTCTAAAAAATGCCAAGTATACCTCGCCACAAATTCAAAAGGAGATTTTGCATATTCTTTCTAGAAAAGTGAGAAGTAAGATTCGTGAAGATATCGGCGATGCTAAGTTTTGTATTCTTGTTGATGAAGCTTGTGATGAATCTAAAAGAGATAAAATGGCTCTCGTTTTAAGATACGTTGATAAGAATGGTTTTTTACAAGAACGTTTCTTTGATCTTGTGCATGTCAAAGATACAACTTCTTTAAATTTAAAAAAGGATCTTTGTACGGTTCTTTCTCACTATAATCTTGATGTTCACAATCTCCGAGGTCAAGGTTATGATGGTGCTAGGAATATGCGTGGTGAATGGAATGGTTTGCAAGCATTATTTCTTAATGATTGTCCTTATGCATATTATGTGCATTGCTTAGCTCACCGACTATAACTAGCATTAGTTGCCGCATCTAGAGAAGTAATCGTTGTCCATCAATTCTTTTCAAACTTGAACTTCATTATCAATAACATCGGAGCTTCTTGTAAATGTACTGATGAATTGCATTCTGCTCAAGTTATGGAAATTGCCCATTTGATAGATCTTGATGAACTTGAAACCGGCCGAGGAGCTAATCAGATTGGTAACTTGCAACGACCTGGAGATACTCGTTGGAGCTCCCATTTTGATTCTTTTTGTAGTTTGATAAGGTTATTTGGTCCAACATGTTCAGTTCTTAACAATCTCATTGAAGATGGAGGTAATTACAAGATCCGGGGAGATGTTGATACTGCTTTTAATACTCTTAGATCATTTCAGTTTGTGTTTATTTTGCATTTGATAAAAGATATCATAGGAGTAACTAATATCCTATGTCAAGCTTTGCAACAAAAAGATCAAAACATCGTAAATGCTATGCAATTGGTTTCAAGTACAAAACAAATCATTCTGAAATTGAGAGAAAATGGTTGGAACAAGTTACTTGATATTGTTAAATCATTTTGTGAGTACCACAACATTGATGTGCCTGATTTGAGTGTTCCTTATACCAAAAAAATTAAGGGTTAGTCACGTCACCCACAAGAGAATATTACACTTGAGCACCACTATCGGATTGATATATTTTATGGCATAATTGATTCACAATTGCAGGAGTTGAATAACAGATTTAGTGAAAAGGCAATGAAACTTGTTGCTCTCAGCTCAGCTTTTGATCCTAGAGATGATTATAAGCTCTTTAACGTTGAATATATTTGCACACTTCTAGATGAATTTTATCCTCAAGATTTCACGGACCAAGAGAGGATTATGTTGACATTCCAATTACAACATTATGTGGTTGAAATGCCTGTTCATTCATATTTGAAAAACATGTCAACGATTTCTGAGCTATGTAGAGGATTAGTGGAAACAAAGAAGTCAAAAATCTACTTTTTGATTGATAGGTTGATTCGTCTTGTTTTGACTCTTCCCGTTTCCATGGCAACTACAGAAAGGGCATTTTCAACTATGAAACTTGGCAAAACACAACTGCGCAACAGGATAGAGGATGAGTTTCTTACAGATTACTTGAGTATCAGTATTGAAAAAGAATTTGCTGAGACTTTTAGTACAGATTCAATTATAGATGATTTTTCTTCTCTAAAAGATCGTCGAGCTCAGCTTTTGTAGTAGTTGTTTAGTCTTTCAGGTTTCTTTTTGTATTTATCTATTTCATATTTGACTAGATATAGGCTAATTATTGTTTTGTAAACAAATTGGCTAAATTTTGGCTAAATATATTTTTGTATGCATTTAATCGATCATGAAGTACTTTTAACTTAAAATATTATTATATTATATTAGTAAAACTGTTAATACTTTGCCCCCCCTTACATTGAATCCTGGCTCCGCCCCTGCGCGGGTAACAGTCTTCTCGCCGATGGTTTGAGGGCCGTCATATGTGGATTGTCGGTGTGGGACGGCGGGTCGTGTTCTCCTACAACCACGGTTTGTTGGGTCACTATTTTGCGTCAATTCCAGGTGTTGTTTTCTTCTCTGGCATAGTGGACACCATCTTGTGCCGACTATGGTCGTGAGTTGTAATCACAAGTAGGTTAGGTTGCTTGGGGTTGTCAATTGGGTTGTTTGGGGTTGCCGACTTTGGTTGCTTGGGTTGGTGGGACGGTGGGTTATGATGCATGTTCTTAATTTTCAAATAGATTTTAACTCTTCAATGAGACTTTCTCTCTCTTCAATTAGATCTGTTTGACACTATATTAAATGGAGAAAGATGATTTTAACCAAGACCTGGATCTGTTCCTAACATCGCTTTTAGTAATAGCTTTCTATCCCCTTGATTCAGCTACATTGACCGATCAAATATGGGCTGTATTGTGTGTGGGGTATTTTTTAAGTAAATCCCCAGGAGTGTTGGTATTGTCTAACGCTCATCCTTAAATTGATTGGTAAAATCATACACAGTTTGTTCTATGTCAGCTAAATTTGCCTTGATTTTTTTGGGTTTTATATGTAACCATAATCAATTGACCCAAGAATCAAAATTTTCAATTTATCCTTTTATTTTTTTTGGTAAGGAAATCGTTGTAGATAAAAAGATGAAGCTTAAGCCACTGTATAAGAGATATGAGGAACATGACAAAGACAAGCCAATAAAATTTTCTGGACATGGCGGTCTCTCCCTCATCAACGTGGTTGTTCAGAAAAGTTAACAAAACCAGGAGCAACAATAATAACAACAATCAAGGGAACAGAGAGAGACGATGAAGATAGAGAGGGACACAGAAAGAAGAAAAAGAGGGAACGGAACCCAATCTAATTAGAGAGAGATATAGAGAAACGTCGTTTTGGAAGGAAAGAAGAAAAAAAAAATGGTAAGAGTGGCATGTAAGAATCGGACCAAAATCCGCATCAAAACATCGGACCACTATCATTATTCATATATATATAGTTTGTGTGTATATATATATGTAGGGGTGGAGCTGGGGGTGGGCCAGCAGGGGCCTGCCCCCCCCCCCCCCCCCCCAAAAAAAAAAAAAAATTATTAGTATATACAAAAAACAAAAAATAATAATAATAAAATTTAGTATACTGGCCCCCCCAACATTAGGGAACCTATCAGTTTGCCCTCTTTTTTGAGCTAAGAAGAGCGAGAGCTGCGAGAGCGAGTCTAGAGAGATTGAGAGAAGTTGGAGAAAAAACAGAGGAAGAGGAAAAAGAAGGCCAGGCGACCGCCGACCACTGAAGCTGCTCAATCTGCGCAAAGATCTCGAAGGATCGAGGCTGCCGAAGGCCCGAAGCTCAACCCCCAGCTCCGCCCCTGCTCAAGGTTTCACCTATCTTTTGCCCTCTTTTTAAAATAGTTTTTTGTAATGTTTGGTGCTTACTGCTCATGTTCTTGATCTGTTCACAACTTCACATAATCTGATAATCACAATTATCACATGGTCTGATGGTCCACATGGAACAAAAGATACAGTAAAATGGAATCCAACCAAACTAATGAACTATACGGCCTTTTAGTTGTATTTTTTATTTTTTCAACTCTAATTTTGGCAGAAGAAAATTTTACTTGTATAAAGACTACATTTTCCCCCCTTCCTTCACTTTGCCTCTTGCTTTTATTCCTTAGAAGTGCCCATCTGTAATACCCCTAGTTTTCAAAAGGATAAAATGGGAATTTAATTTTCAATATTAAATTGTATTTCATTTTTATTTTTTTTATTATTTAATTATTGGACTTATTTGTTTAAATTAATTATTTTATTTGCCAAATTGATTTATTATTATTTGTGTGTATTTAATTGAATTGCTGAATTGAGATTGTTTTAATTTAATTATTTGATAGATTGTTTTAATTATATTATTTGAATTTATTTAAATTAATTACCTTAATAATATGTAACTGGTTGACTGTTTATAATTATTTAAATTGTTTTAAATTATTAGATCTTAAGTTAGGGTTGTGGATTTTACGTATTGCCGACTTAGCATTAGTCGGTTCTTTTTTGGAATCTATTAGGATTAGGGTTATAGATTTACTGAGTCTATAAATATGTTGTTACGTTAGCCTTAGGGTTTTGAAAGAAATACAACCTCAGTCTGTTCACATAAAAACAGACTGTTCACCTAAAATAGAGAGATACAGAGGGAAACGGATAGTGATCTTGGGTGATTCACAAAGTAGAGTCAAGGAGGGGAGTTTGGTGTATGGTACTGGGTTGGACTAGGAGCAGCAGAGGTCGTTTAATACAATTGACGTTGCCGGAGTTGATAGAGACGACAATTAGAGATTTTAATCTAAAGTCTCAAAGGCAAGTATCTGTTCTTCTCTTTCCCTTAAACTTGTGATCTGTGCATACTTAGATGGACTCCAAGAGTTTAAATAAATGCCTATACAAACATTTATATATGCTTGACTGATAATTAGACTCGTTGAATGAAGTTGTTTCACAAAATTCTTAAAGTCTCTGTTTGTTTGGTTCTTTTTGTTTATGAGTTTAAGCTTTGCTATTTGAGATTAATGATGCATATGGATGACTTGTAGTTAGTCTGGAAGGTTAATTAGACGTTAGAACAAGAATTTATTACAGTGCAGAGGGCTAGAACATCACCGGAGTTGAAGGAGACGAAGCTGAAACAGACGAGGGCTGCTAAGGGGAGGGAGAGCAGTCTCCTAAAACCTTAGAGCCGGCTCCCAAAGAGGGGGAGTTGCTCTAGAAGCATTGGAGACGGCTCTTGGGGACCTAGAGCCAGCTCTAGGTCATTTAGAGCAGGCTCCCAATTTTTGGAGAGCCTGCTTGTAATACCCTTAATTTTCAAAAGGGATAAAATGGGAATTTAAATTTAATTTATGTGCATTTTGTTTTATTAATGGGAATTTGACTTATGTGGGTAGTTGCGTAATTGTTTAATTGTGGTTTTATGTAAATTAATTATTTATTTGTTTTGCATGATTTGTGGATTTATAATTATGTATTTATTTGATATTATTTATTTGTTTTAAATGTAATTATTATTTGCGTGACTTTATGTGTTTGTGTTAATGGTATTTATTTAAATTCTATTTACAGTTGTGCTCATTGGTTTAGTATAATTAAGTTTAGGGTTTATTTTTATAATTAGGTTAGCCGACTGTTACTGAGTCATGGAATTAGGATTAGGGTTTAGAAGGAACATATATATATATAAGACAGTATGGTTTCCTAGGGTTCAAAACAAACCCTATCACGTAATATTAACCTGTGAGGAAAACAGAGGCTCTAGGATGTAAAGAGAGATACACAGTGAGGGTCTTGAGAGATTTATTAAAGAGTTGCTTCTGGATGAAACCATGAAGCAGTAGAGGAAGGGAACAGTGATCAGAGGAGGAAATACAGTCTTAGAAATTCTGCAATTTAGAGATGGCGAAAGGTTTCAAACTGAAACCTAGAGGCAAGTTTCATTCTCTCCTTCCCGTAAACTTGTGTTCTGTACATTCTTAATAGTCTCCAGGAACCTAATTAACTTTTAAAATAGACTTGTATGCATATTAGATTATGTTGTAATCTGTTTGATGCTTTTAAAACTGAAACTGTGTTTTCTAGCATAAATTGCTTTGAATTAGTTATAATTTTTGTCAAGCAATGCTAGATGGAAATTGAGGAGTTGTTAGGATTATGAGGGCTTAATTTAATCTTAAATAGTTTAAAAACAAATGGGACAGAAGGTTGAACCTCGCCGGAAACACAGATGACAGCCGAAGGAAGCAGAGAAGACGCATGGAGCAGAGACGGCTCTCAAAGGGTGAGAGACGGCTCTCTAGGAGAGGGAGCCGTCTCCCATGAGTGTAGAGCCGGCTCTCCATGAGGGAGAGCTCATAGAGAGCCGACTCTGGAAGATGGAGAGCCGGCTCTGGAAGGTGAAGAGTGTACTACCCCTAATTTAAAAGGATAGTCTCGGCATTTATTTATTATTTTTGTTGTATTTTTGCATGATTATTTGGTTTAATTATTTTATTTAATTGTTTACCTGTGTGACGTGTATTTAATTGGTATCTATTTATTTGTTTAAATTGCATTTTATTGCATTTTACTTTATTTAATTGATTATTAAAGGTTTTAATTTAGGAAGTAATTTAGGAAGTATTTTAATTAACTATTTTATTTTCATAATTGAGGGTTTAGTTTCTTTAGCCGACACAGGATTTAATTAAGTTCTATGGGCCGGTTAGGATTTAGTTAGGGCTCTAATTAATTTAGGGTTTTGGTATAACTCTATAAATATATGGGTATACGTCTGCCGAGGGTTTCTAAAACCCTATTCACCATATTCCCGTATACAGTAAAGAGAGAAGTTGAGAGAACAGAGCGTCGTAACGGTCTGTCAAGGAGAATAACAGAGAGGACCAAGGGAGGTGTTTGGTGGATTAGATCAGAACCAGAGGAGGCTAGAAGGTAGTCAGTGGTTGCCGGAAAGCTTAGAACAACGGCGTCAAGGTTCTGTTTATAAAACTGTACAGGCAAGTTCTTATCTTCCTCCTTCCCTTTGATTTGTGTTCTGTGCACCTGGACATCTCTAGGAGATTAATTGGCCTTAAACTGAACCATGCATGTTTTATATATGTTTTACTTGATTGCTTTATCAGTGAAATTTATTTACAAAACAATTATAGCACGTATGTTTTCTTGACT